AAAAAAAAAAAAAAAAAAAAAAAAAAAAAAAAAAAAAGCCAGACACACAACTTTTTCTTACCCTCAGAAGTTCATACTCAAGTGGTTTTAGGTTGAGGACTCAGTGCCTCTGTACTGAGGCTAAATGCCAGCTCAGAGCACAGCATCCCTGCCTGGACCAGACGTTATCAAAATCAACCATCCTGGGGGTCAGTGGGCTGGAAATGTTTCTGTTTTCTAGCCGTAAGACATTTCCTTTGGCTCGAGAGCCCACTGTAGCCATAGTCCTTCCTAGCGTAGGACATGAATTTTCTGCTCTTAATGCCTCTGGACTTGACATTTAACATATTTGTTAATATCCATTAAAATCAGAAACCCAATTGAATTTCAGTATGATGTGGTCATTTGAATAAAATGATATTGCAAAACCTTGTCTTGATGCTGCGGGGGGTGAAATTGAATACCAGTGTCATTCTCATTTTTTGTTTGGGCTCGTTTACGGCTCATACGATTGACAACAGTTGTTTCTGATCTCTAAAAGATGGTTTCTGCCATTATCCTGGTTCGGAGCTGTGTAAACAGGTCGTGCAATTTGTGCAAGAGGTAAGTTGCTGCTGAAGTAACTTTCTGGAAGTGAGGCGTCAGAGTGATGTTGTAAGCAGAAAAGGAGGGAGCAGAGGGTTGTGTCTCTCCTTCCTCAGTCCTACCTGCACTCTAAAAATTCTTGACTTTGATGAATGTGGATGGAGAACGTGTGTATTGGAGGTGGTTGTTGTTGTTGTTTTTTATTTTATTTGGTCATATTAGATAGAGCAAATCTGTTTTTCTTAGCCACCTGAAAGGCACGTTATTCCTCCCTGTCCTTCAAAAATGATGTCAGTGGTCATGTTTCTCGTGGACTGGGGTGTGGGAAGGCCACCAAGTGCCTGGTGTCCTGACTCAGTAAAATCTGCGGGGGCTTTGCTGATGACTTGAATGGCCGTAGGGTCACATCTACAAATGGTGAGTAGGTGTTTGATAAGACTGAAAAATCTTGAAATCCTTGCATGTGGTGTTGCAGAAGGATAAAGCTAAATGCAGACCAAATGTGATGTAGAAAGCTAACGGTGCCTGGAAACAGTGAGGCTCCAGGATATTGCAGAAAAAGTTGAAATAAAAAAAAGTAAATAAAAATGAAAAATGAAATAAAAATTAGAATGTAAAGTCAAAAGTGTATTTGATCTATGGCAGCCAATGGTGCTGGCTCCTCTAGCTGTGCCCCAGGGAGATGTAATGGGAGGTCTCAGGGGTCTGGGCTGCTGTTTCCAACAGCTGGAGGAAAGCAATCTCCTCCTGCTCTCTGCTTTTCTAGACTGGTTTCGTTTGGTTTGGTTAGTCATTTCTCATTTGATTTAAAAAAAGAAAAAGTAAATGGTGTGGAAATACCTAGGTAAAATC